AAAGAAAAAGAAGTAAGACTCACACTTTAAAAGTTCGCTCACAAATATTAAAAATTCTGAACACTTTGATGACTTTTAAACAAGTAGATGTAAGATAAACTTATAAAGTGTCATACGAGGAAGCACTTTTGGTTCAAAAATTCTGTATTTCTTGAACGGATTCCTGACGGATCTGAAAACCCTTCGACAGTCGCAGTCATTTAGCGATGAAAATTAGGGCCAAACTACAGTTCTTTATTATAAAAGAGAAAGAAAAGTGTTATAAAAGTGGTAATTGCAACTCGCAGAAAAGAGGTTGGGTTTTTCGCAAACACAAAGTGTTATTAAAAATAAATAAACTGCAGAAAAAGCAAAACGTTTCAGAATGACTAATATCAAAAAACAATTTTTTTGCCCTCTAATCCTGTTATATACAAAAAATTTTCCATGTAAACTTCGAGTGTTGTTGAGAATAACCAATTTCAAAAAGCGACGCTTTTTTGCATAGAGAATAGTTCTGTTAATTCAATAAATTCTAAAATCAAGTAACCGGTATCTTGCAGTGATTAGATAAGACCGAAGTTCCTATAATATTGTAGCTTGAAAGCTGCCCCGTACCAGAAAACAAAAACAATAAAAAAGACATGTAAAACAGGAAAATTTTGAAAAAATGAAAAATTGTTGTATTTATTTGAATTGAAACAGTAGTCAAATCAATGCAGTAAAAAGTTAGATGTGTTTATACAATACTGTCTTTGTCTGAAACATAAACGATAAAATTGAACCAAACTTAAATAACAAAAAACTGAAAATTAAATAAAGCAGAAGTCATACAAAAAAAAAAAAAAAAAAAAGTTTAATCAACTGAAACGTGGCAGTTGGCATTGCCGAAATTCTTAATCTTGACTCAGCAAAAAGATTTAACAATAAAGGTTGTAGAAAATTTAAGCTTTGTATTTTTCTTGTAAACGAAATTAAACGAAAGAAAGATGTAAAGAAAAGCAAAAAAAAATCCTTTGATTTTCTATGGAACTACCCGGAAACCCAACCGACACGATTGATATTTGGCAACAGAAACAACCGAATTCCTAGCTTTAATATAAAAAAGCTGATTAATCTTAATCTGCTATAACAGTCAGCAAAGAACAATAAGATTGAAAAGTCATAGATACAACAGTTTAAATATAAACTGCTGAGTTTACAAAATAAAAAAATAAAACAAACAATACATTGAAATAAACTTAAAAACAATAAAAAGAAAAAAGAAAAGAAGAAACTAAAGAACAAAATAAAAAAAACTATGATTCATTAATTTTTATACCATTTTCACAACTGTTAAGAAACGTATTTATTAGTTTTAAAAAATAAAAAAGCAAGGAACAAAAGAATGAACAAAAGTTTAAACACAGTGTATTTACCAACCCTCTAACAGTGGCGTATTCAAAAGGATACTCAAACCGGAAATAACCATTTTCCAATAATGACAGCAATTACACTGCTGCTTCCCAGTGGCTTTAGCAGATATATTTGAACAGTTTGCCGGCCTGCAACTATTCAGGCAGGTGCTCGGCTTTCCGGCCCCCGTCTACCCCTAAACCGTTCCATAAACTTGTTACCAGTTCAGGAACAAACAGACAGTTTATTCCGCAATAATTTGCAAAATTTCTCCACTTGTTCAGTGGCAAAATATACTTATGGCTTCAGTCAATTTGCCCATCAACTGCTAAACAAGCCGTTCAGAAATATCAAATCTAAACTAATTTATTTTTTTTCATTAGTCCTAAAGTAGCAGTAACAAAATGAAAAAAAGTGACAAAAATAAATATAAAAAGAATTTT